TTCCTGTTAGAAACAACGAAAAACAACTGAATAATTTTCAAATTATGGCCAAAGTTGTTCGTTCAATTTGGCAGCCCATATTTGACAGTTTAGTTCAATAATAATAATAATAATAATAAATTGTTTGACATAAACGAATAATTTAAACAACAACAACAACAAAAAACAATAACAACAGCAATTATACCATGATGATGATCGTCATAATCATCTTGATCATCATGGCTTCTAGGTCAATCATTCATTCATTCAAATTTTTTTCTGTTTTTTCGAAAATTTCGCGAAATGTTCATTTAAAACCGTATCGGAATCGATCATAATTTGGAAAATTGTTGAAAAAAAACAACATTTGTTGTTGTTGCTGTTGTCGATGATTTAAACGATCCATAAAGAATAATGAAACAAACAGAAAGTTAAAATATGTTTTTGTTTTTTTTGAGCCAATGAACAGTGTAAAAACAATAGACTGCCGCCAATCATCATCATCATCATCATCATGACAATGCAAAGACAAATGTTTTGCCGTTGTTGTTGATGATGATGATGGTCAATTTACCTATGGTTCATCATAATCATCAACTTATTATTACCAATTATTATTTCAAACTACTCTGTATATGAGTGTGTGTAATATTTTTCGCTGATTTTGGCAAACATTTGGCACATTGTAATGTTACATTTCTTCTAACACGGGTCAATCAATATAATCGGTTGATCGGATGATTGGCACACACACACACACACAAGTGATCATCACACCATTATTATTATTATCATAATATTTTGTCCAAATACTGTTTCCTTCTTTTCAAATATGTGTGTGTGTGTGCTATACGTTATCTGTTAATTTTAAGAAACAAAAATTACTTTTAAACAAAAAATTTCATTTCATTAGCATTTTACCTTTATCAAAACATAATCGAATTTTAATTTTATTTTTTCAAAACAACCAAAAAACAAAAACAAAAATTAATGCCATTATCGGGTTATAATAGATAATGATGGTTTATAATGGTAATTGGTAAATTATTATCATCATTTAAAATGACCAAAATATATAGTGTCATTTTTGTTGTTGTTTTGATTGTTTAAATGTGTGATGATAATGATCATAATGATAATTATTGAATCGAAAATACAATTCATTTTAGTTTCGAATGTTTATAAACAGGATTCATCTAATGATGATGATGATTATGACCATCGTTTTCACAATAATCGATATTATCGATAGTCAGCCAATTGTATGGCCAAAAAGATACCTGAGCCGAGAATTTACGTAATTTTTTTCTTTTTGGCAAATTTCATTCATTGAATTCGATTCAGATTTGTAAATAATAACACCACCACCATTATGAAAAAGATTTCAAGATTTTACAAGAAAAATGAAACAAATTTGCAGCGATTATGAAAAAAAACGTAGACATGATAATTGTTGGCAATGATGGCGATAATTTTGTTGTTGATGTTCGGCAAATATCAACCAAGCTATTATCGACTTTTATCGTCCATAAGCAAATGAAAAAAAAAATTCAAGAATCAATGTCATTCAAAATGTTGTATCTGTTATTGTCAATTATTATTGAATTTTTTTTTCTACAAAAGTTCAATCAATTATGCTGGTAGTAAAATTGGTTACATCAATTTGTTTGTTTGTTTATAATCGTTTTAAATTCTTTTTTTTTCTTTGTTTGAACAGAAAGAAAATTGACAATCGTTTGTTAACAATTGAAAATAAACAACAACAACAATAATATCCGGAACTCGAAACTTTGTTCAAAAAAAAAGAAGAAATTATTAGCTAAGTGGATTATATTGTGTCACACACACACACACCGACACAGACAAACATGTAACCATATGGTCATATTGTTACATTTGACCAGTACGGTCAATGTCACCGAATGAAAAAACGTCATCGACCTACATCATGTTTCAGAAACAAACATGGTCATTGAATATTGACTTGTCGTCATCGATATTGATTGTAATGGACCAAAAAAAAAATTGAATTATATCATTTTATTTGATTGATTTTGATTTTCTGTTGTTGTTGTTGTTGTTGTTGTCGTCGGTTCCCAGCAACATTCAATCAATGATCCCAATACTTGTTGAGTAAATTTCAACAACAACAACAACGAAAATCCATTTCCAAAGTATAAACTTTTCTTTCACAGTGTAAGTAATACGTTTATTTCTTACATAGTAAAGTTTAACCCTTTATTTTCACGTTAAATTTCCCGTTAGCACAGTTAACTTTAACCGAATCCAACAACAAATGAAACATGATAAACATCTGCCCCTTTTTTTTTCTCATTGCAACAAGAAAATTAAAAATCCAACCAAAGATCGACTTCAAGTCATTTTTTTTCACAATTGTTGCTGTTTGTTTTTTTGTTTTGTTTTGTTTTCAATGACAATCCTTAAACCCAATTAAAAGATATCTATTATATTATTAACGTCGTGGTCGTGGTGGTCGAATTTAATACAACAAGCACCTTATGGAAGAAGAAAAGAAAGATTTTTTCTGGAAACATTTTCTTTTTTTTGGTTTTTATACGATTAAACTCTATGAGAACAAATTAGCTACATGAATGAACGTATTATATGACCTTTTTCAAAGAATGACCGTCGTCGTCGTCGACAACCAACAACAACAAAACGGTTAATTTTTGAATGACCTCAAATGAAACAATATATTTTTTTCCTTCAAGATTCATGTCCATCAGTATTTTAAATGAAAAAAAAAGAAATCAAATGATAAATGGGTGTGTGTGTATAGGGTTTTTGTTTTCTATCAAGTCCATCAAATCATAAATCGATCGATCGATCGATTGATAGATTTGATCGTGAAAACAAAAATCAACCAAGATATCCGGTATATACCGAAACGAATATATATGAGAAAAAAAAAGGTCAAGAAAATATATTAACTCATTCGTTACAGTGTTTTGGAATGGAGGAAAATCTTGAATTCACCATTGAATATCAAAACCACAACAACAACAAAGATGTCACATTTTTAAAAATTATATGAATGAAAAATGATTTGTTTGAATTTGTTTGAATATATTTTCATATTTTTAGAAATTTGATACATTTTTTTTCTCCCTGGTTTTTTTCTTTTTGGTTTTTGATCAATGGTCATAGATTTCGGGTTAGATAGATAGATCCGGGTGTCCAATATTTTTTCTGTTGTTTCTAGTTTTGATCAAGTTAATATTTGATTGGTTAGAAACACAACAACAACAAACCAGATAAATCAGATAGATTGAATGAATCTAACTCTTTCGATCATTTTTTTTTATTGTTTTGGTTTGTTTGTCCAAAAGATTTTCGATCATATAGGACGACAATCCTTTTCCGTTTGATATCAAAAAACAACAACACGTGCAAACATCAAATATTATTGATACAGGTTATAACGGGGGAAAAAAAGATAACAAACAAAGTTTCTTGAAAACTACTAAATAATAATAATAACTTACAAGGTGACCAAAAAAAAAAACCACCTACAACAACAACAACGGTCAATGGACAATGGACCATTTGGTTCTTTCAAATCTCTCTTTTTTCCCCTTTTTTTTTATTATTGATTGATTTTGAAAACACACACACACACAGACATACAGGACTTGTCACCAAATTGGGTGTTGATTATAACAAATGATTTTGTCAAATCATGAAAGAAAACTTTTGTGTGTGTGTGAACAATATTAGATTTTGATTGAGTATATGTGTGTTGTGTTGTGTATCTCTTTATCAATTGATATGATTTTGATCAATGATTTTTGTTCTTTGATTTGAAAAAATCAGTTAAAAAATATGAATCCAATGAACCAAAAGAAAGGTCAATCACACATACAAATGAACCAGGAAAACGAATGAAATGTGATATGTCCAATATGTATGTGTGTGTGTGTTCATCAATGATTTTGAATTTTAAACATTTTTCATTCAATTCTTTTCAATATATCGATCAATCAGTTAAAAAAATATGAATTTTGTTTCAATTTTTTTTTTGATCACTATCATCCTGTTATTGTTTTGTTGTTGATTTTGTGGTTTTTTTTGTCATTTTATTTCATCTCTTTATCTATTGAATCCAATCGAATTTATCAGAAGTTTTTTTTAAAATCATAACATATGTGTACAGCGTGTGTGTATAAAAAAGTGGTCAATAATTTTCGTACATCTTTCGTATTTGTTTGACCGGAAATATTGAATGATTGATGTATAATTCCTTTTCGATAATTTCTAATTCTTCATTCAGCACATGAGACGCCATCTATGTTTTTGGATTCAAACAAACTAATAATTTTCATGTTTTTTTGTCGTTAGTTTTATCATGAAAAGAAAGAAAACAGAAAACACCGATAAAATCCATAGAAACACACACACAAAAATGGAATTAATCATATCATTATTATCATCAGAAATGATTATAAATTAGAGAGAAAAAAAATCATTTTTTTTTTTTGAATCATAATTATAACAATGATCTTGTGTAACTAATGCCCAAAACTGATTGTTGATAAATAAATCCATATTGCGCAAACAAACAAAAAAATGGATCAACGCTATATATATCTTATCGACCAATGAATCCTCTTCGGTTTTTTTTGTTCGGTAGCTATCGGAAATGCTTCTACTTTTTTAATATCATTTTGTTAAATTTTTTAGGATTGGCTTTTTTTTGAAATTCGTAAAAATCTTTTTTCTTTTTTTTCTCTGCATTAAATAACGACGTGGAATCAATCCTTGTTGTTTATATATAGCGACAGTGTTTTATCGATTCTGGATCGCTATATAGATGTTGTTGTTTGTTTTGTTTTTCATGTCTATTTTTATCTCATATGTTTTTTTGTTGTTATCTTTGTTGTTGTTTTGATTATTACCCGATTGTAATGGTGAAAAATTATTGTTAGAGAACAACGGAAAAAAAACCATTATAAGCCCATTATATTAATTATAATAATTAATCCACTCTAATTTCATTGATATTTGCCTCAAATATTTCTCTGTGTGTCTGTGTAATCGTTTGGATCAATATATTCTTGGAAAATTCTTCATTTGTAACCTCATATTTGATTTGAAAAATAACCTTTGATTTGAACAACAACAACAACATCAAAAAAATGTCAAGTCCTGTTAGTCCAGGAATCAGTCATTCCAGTTTAAACAACAATGTTAATCAATCAACAAATAAAAGTAAATATTTTTCTCCTATTTTCCTAAAAAATTAAATTAAATTTTATTTTACTTTTTTTTTACTTTGTTTCACGCATTATAAACAACAACAGAAATTCCAATAAACAAAGTGACAGTCGGAACAGCTAAAGGGCCTAATATAAAAAATGTTAAATCAAAAATTGGTTCATTGAATAATGTTCATCATAAACCTGGTAAATTTGTCTGATTAATCTGATTGAAAATGAAAAAAAAAAATAATTTGAAATAATTTTTCCCATACAAACACACACACAAACAAGCTGGAGGCGAAAAAAAGATTGAAACACAAAAATTAAAATGGGAAACAAAATCACGAATCGGTTCGTTGGATAATGCACAGCATAAACCTCGTAAGTTTCGTTTGTTTTTGTTTTTTTTTTGTTGGATAAACCCAAATTAATTGAAAAAAATTTCAATTGTTTAGATGGTGGAAATGTTCGTGTAATTACACAGAAATTGGATTGGAATGTACGATCGAAAATTGGTTCATTGGATAATGTGAAACATGTACCAGGTGGTGGTAATGTAAAGATTTTTGATGAAAAATATTCAAATTCAATACGATCAGGCGAAACAACACCATCGGCAACAAGCTCAACAACAACAACACCACAAATCAATAATAACAACAACAATAATAATCCAATCGATAATTTATTACGAGAAACGAATGAAAAACTTTCATTGATGGATTGATTGATTTTTGTAATGAAATTATTTATTTATCTAGAAATTTTTGTGCAACAAAAAACAATTAACAAATTGATTGGAAATAGATCGATTCATTGATCGATTGATACATTATTTGTCAGCAATTTTTTTTTAAATCATTCATTCAATTCATTATCATTATCGTCATCATCATTTTTATTATCATTATTATCATCATCGTTTAATGTAATGGATTTTTCTTCGTCATCCGGATTTTTTTCATTTTTTTCAATTTTTTCAATCAAAATACGTTTACGTTGTTTCAATATAAACGTCAATGTATTCATTTTGGATGGTTTTATCTAATAATAATGAAAAAAAGATGATTTTTTTAAATATTTCATATTCAAAACACATATATAGATTATTTTAGTTTGATTACCATCTTTTTTAATAATAATAAATTACTCCAAAGACGTTGTATGAGAAAATCATTTGCAATATCCATCGGTATATTTGACTTGAATTGAAATGAAAGAAATAAATTGAATTTTTCTTTTTTTTGAAATAAGAAAAAAACAAACATACCCGAAGTTCATTTTTATTCCAATAAAAAAGTTTACAACGAATCTCTTTGATTTGAAATAAATTTTCAACAAAATCTATTAGTTCGGGTGGAAATTCTTTGAATGTTAAAAACATTGATAAATCTTCACCGGTAAAATTATCTTCATTTTTATCATTATAACGTGATAGAAATTTATCCTGATCTATAACTGAATTGTAAAAAAAAAGTATTTTAATAAGAAAAAAAATGATAAATGAAATCAAAATACCTTTTGTTTTATTATAAACGGTGATTGGATTTTTAAAACGATCATTCAATTCTTGTTCAATTGTATCGAATGTATTTATTGAAAATTGTGATAAACTAATCAATGATGATGTTTCTAGATTGTCCGATTGTTTGGTCATTTGTTGTTGTTGCTGTTGATCTTTGTTTACAATTTTCACATCAATTTTGTTTGGTGATTGTATGATTGTTACCGGTATTGGAGGCGGTATTGGTGGTAGTAATGGATTTATTTGGATTTCTTTTCGATTATCATTTTCATTGTCAATTATCATTTGATCATGATTAACAAATGAGGTTGTCTGTTGTTTAACAACCACATTTGATGGTAAAAAACTATTACGATTAGAAATTTGCGAATAAACCGGATCTTTTGGAAATTCTTCTTTGTTTTTTTTAAAAAATTGAAAAAATAATCAAATCAATTACTTTTTATAACAGGAAAAAATCGACAAATTTAATTCATCCAAAAAAATTAAAAGAAGAAAACATTGACTTTATTGCTTTGACATTGACATTTGCTTTGTTTGAATGAATAAAAGAATGACAGTTATTGGACAATCATCAATGTAAAGATAGCCAAAAAAAAAGCTTTCATATAAAAAAACATTCATTTCAGAATAAATAATTAAAAAAAAATTCAATTACACACACACGCACATATAGAGAATACATTGAACAAATGTTTGTTTTTCAGAAAAAAAGCAAAGCATCATAAAAAATAGGAAAAAAATGGATAGATCCAAGACAGGAAAAAAATGTGATTCAAAAGCCAAATTTATTTGTTGATGAGGATGATCATACGATAAAGCAGTATGTGGCAAAAACCACATCATTTTTGTTTTTCAGTGAATCATTAAAAATAACGGAATTCTCCTTTTTTACCTTGACGTTCACGACGTATCCAATCATCTTGTGTCATCATCATTGATGATGATGATGATGATGGTCCATGTTGATGATGATGATGATGTCCGGTTGATGATGTAGATGGACCAGCAATTGAATGATGATGATTATTATTATTATTGGCAGACATCATCATCATTATTGTTTGCGGTTCAATTTCACCAACAATAGTATGTGGTACATGTGCTATTTGACCATGTGAATTTCTTGCTTTCCACCATTTACGTGAATCATCAAGAACTTCAAGAATTTCTCCTCTATTTTGTAATATGGATTCAGATAGGAAACAAGAAAATTTCAATTTAAATTAATTTATACAATTATAGATAGAAAATAAAATTGACTAACCTGACTACAGTTAGCTCTTTATTATTATTGGCTGTACGTGGAAATAAAACACGAACAATTTTGGCATTTCGTGATTGTAATTCTCCAAGCCATTCCATTTGTTCAGCATCGATAGTTTGTTGTTGACCACCACCACCACCACCACCACTACCATTATTATTATTATGATTAACCATTCCCAATGATAATGATGATGGTGATTGATCATCACGATCAATCGAATCGATTGGTGATGGTGATGGTCGACCATGTTGATTATGTGATGTCGGTGTTGCTAAATATTCAATTTTTTTTATATTATTATTATTACAAAATATGCAAATTAGGAATTTAATCTACATACTTCGTGTTGATGAATGATGAGCAATGATTCGAGGATTATTATCACCATTATTAATATTTGTTGGTTGTTGATCTTCATAATCACTATCATCAAAACTGGTTGGATGACTGTGACTACGAGATTTATTTGGCATCGAAGGTCGTGATGTAATAATTTCCTCTGGATCTGTATCAATTTCTGTTACCATCGTTGTTGGTGTTATTATTCCTAATAACTCTGGTTCGGTAATAGCCGGTGCCCAACCATCAGTGAATATCGGTTGAAATGGGCTTGTCATACGAATATGCTATATTTTAATCCAAAAAAATCAATCATTTATGTTAATAGTAAATTCAATTAATCATCGATGATCACTAACTTTAACTGATTGTATCCAATTATTACCAAGCGATTGCCATAAATCAAATTCTTTACTTGTACAACAATTTGATAATAATTCAATAGCATCCGGACTTAAGTATGGAATTCCAACTAAAGATGGATCCACTGGTGGCTCTATTCATATGATAATCATTTTTTTTGAAAAATCATGATATTAATATAAATCAAAAATGTCTAAAAATTCAAATCAAACAAACATACCATTTGCACGAGAAGCTTCAATTATAATGGCAAGCTATAAACGTAAAAATAATAATCAAAATTTTAAAACACTTGTTTACAATTTAAAAAACAATAATAATAATGTAACATACAGGTGTGAAAAGAAAATGTACCAATTCCGGTGCATTCGGATCATGTATACAGCCTTTTAATTTGGCCAATAAATTAAATGCCAATTTAAATTTGGAAAATATTTCAAAAAATTCTTCTTCACATGGACCACGTGCACGTATGGCTAATAATCCATCACCAGATCCTTTAGCTAAATTAGTTGACATTAGTTTTAAAAGAAACATTATAAAATCAAATAAAACAATAATGATAATAAAACTAACCTCCACGTTTATGACTACGAATCTGTAATTCTCTTAATGCTGCAGCTGCATGTTGTAATCGTATAATAAATCTTTCAATATCATCAAAACAATGATTCAATATGGATACATATCGTTCATTTGAATAGCTCTGTATTTTATTTTGGTGGATAAAACGTTTTTATTATTCAAAAAAACTACAGAAAAAAAATTGAATAATTTATACCTCATTCATGTCGTGATTACGAGAATGATTATTATGATGATTATGATGTTGTTGATGTGAATTACCGTTTGAATGATGATGATGATGATGATGATGGCTTTGTAATTGTGATGGTGATGTCATTTCTTGACGTTGTTGTTGTTGTTGTGATTCAACAAATGAACTTGAATCAGATCGTGAATCAATATCCTGTACAATTAATGTACCGGATGTTGTTGGTATAGTTGATGATTGTTGTCCAGCTGTTGTTGTTGGTAATGGATGTATTGAATCGTTTGAAGCTCCTTTTCTGTAAATATTTTTTACAGATATTTTTAGATTTAGTTAGTAAAGTAAGATTTAGTTTAAAAAAATGGAAATAGAATGTAATTTTTACGATTAAAAATTATCAATCAATCAATCAATCGATTGAAATAAAAAAAAAATCAAACAACGATGCGATCAAAGAGAGCAAGAAAAAAATCTCAAGAATGCTACTCATCGATTACTTTAAAAGAACCTTCTAACCCAAAAAATTAAAAAAAAAAAAACATCAAATCGATAGACTCTTCAACACAACAACTGCAACAAGGATTAGATAGATTTCCACTTGTAACACAAATATCTCTATAGTTATATTACAAATAACAACAATGATATGGAAATATTTTTTTTTCTTGGATTAACAAGTTTGGACCTTGTTTTTTTTTCGTTGATCGAATGGCAAAAACCATGTGTTTCCTTAGTTTGTAAAATTTCGATAAGAAAACTATTTATTTTTTGTTTGTGTGTGTGTCTCGATTAATAATTAGTTTTAAAAATAGCAAAAGAAATCACGTGATTAAATTACTTACTTTTCTCTTTGTGCTGCAATCTGATTGAATACATTAACAGCTTCTTTAACATTTACATTACTTGATGGTCCGGATTGATGTGGATGCGGATGATGATGATGTGAATGATGATGATGATGATGATTATGATTATGATGATTATGGTTGTTATTGGTTTTTTCTCCTTAGTTTTTTTTGTTTGTTTGTTTGTAAAAGATTAATTAATTAATTATCAATATTTATTCTAGCTAATTAATCAATTTTACCTGTTGGACTATTATTATTATTATTATTATGGTGATGATGATTATTATTGTTGGCCACTAAAATACCATAATGTTTCATCCAATGATAAATATCATCAACAACATTGATAGCATCATGTGATACACATTGAAATATATGTAATTCTCCTTTTGAAATAAAATTCAATAAAAACACATTAAGATAATAGAAAATTTTTTATAATTAAACAATCTGTTACCTTGATTTTCATTAGGTAATTGTACTGTAAATATTAATATATTATTATAGATATGATTTTGATCATTAAATGATGTTGGCTGTTGTATGAATGCAACCGGAAAACGTTCAACAACATCATTGGTTTCACCATCCAATATCCACATATGATTTCCTAATTGTTTTGTTTTGTTTGTTTTGGTTTTTTGTCAAAAAAATAAATAGGAAATATTTCAAATAAGAAAAATTAAATAATCGATAATTTACACTGACATTATTTCATAATATTTACCTTTCAATTGTATGGCCATTCTTTGTGTCCAAATACCTGAAATGAAAAAAATTTGGTTTTTGAATAGAAAAATTTTAAAATCAAATTTATATTCATAATTCCAAAAACAAATACAATTATCGTAAGTGTGTTTGTGAAAGTGTGTGGTTTGGTTTTAGGAAATTTCAAATTTAAAATATTCAAACGTAGGCGTAATATGATCATTTTTTGATGGGGAAAAAAAATGAATTTTGCTTTGTGGTTTTTTTTCTCATTTTGGTTTTAAATATCATCACGATTATATAATGAAAAACGTCATGTTTCAATCAACTTGGCAAGAAAAAAAAAAGGGAAATGAGATTCAACAACAACAAAAACCCCAAAGATGCAAATTAATACTATTTATCCAATCATCATCATTGATAATAAGCAACATCCGAAACAACAACAACAACAACAGCAAAAACCAATCAATTTAAATAGATAAATTTTTCAACAAAGAAAAAAAAATTCATTTATTTAAACCATAAATATCTCTACATTCAATGATGTCTATCTTATTCTACGTATAATTCGGTTTAACATTTTTGCGCAAAAACCAAAAATAAAATCCAAAAAACCAAAAATAAAATCCAAAAACAACCAATCATCCATAAACGATTCGAAAAGCAAATACAACAACAACAACAACAACAAAAATTTGCATTATCTATTTTTATCTCTCGATTGATTCTCGATTTCCGGTCTCCTATTTTTAATGCATGAATTTTCATTTCATGTAAAGATATTCAAGATAGAAAAAAAAGGAATGATTATTAATAATAATAATAATTTGCAAATGAAATATATGTGTGTGTGTGTGTGTGTGTGTGATGAACATTCCAATAATCCAATGTTGATAAATGTTGATTGGTAAAATTATGATTCACAAGTTGAGAATTCCTTTTTTTCTTCTTCTAAATATTGATTAACGATCAATCATTATTCATTGTTGCAATAATGACAAAAAAAAATTCATTGATGCGTCGGTGTATATTATATATATAGATAATCGACAAATCATTTCATTTTATTCATTCAAAACAATTACACTTAAACATAAATAAAAAAATTCCTGATTTGGCAATATTTTGGTTTTGTCACACATACACACACACACACAATTGGTTAATAATAATTCTCGTCATTAACTTTTTATTTACACTTGATTTCTTTTTTTTTCTTTTTTTTTGTTACAAAACTTTAGTACAAATGAACGAAACTATATTTAAATTCTAATCATAGTTTATCATTTAATGTTTGTTTGTTTTTTGTTTTTTTGTTTGTAAACAACAATTCTTTTAAAATCAAAGAATGAATGATGTTGACAGAACATGATAAGTATAATTTTACCTTTTTTTTTATTCTTCACAAAAAAAAAGGTGTTTTTCTTTCAATTGATTAATGAATATAGAACACGAACGCACACACTTGAACGAATAACACACACACACCTAACGCCTACAAATTATATGCATATACAGACATACACACACACACATAAACAAACAATTTAGATTCAATAATTTTTTTTTTCTAAAATCAAATAATCATTGATTTAAAGGAAGAAAAATTACCTGTCAATTATAGATTATAGATGATGATTATCGTTTCATATAATTAAATAAAATCCTTTTAAGGTAAATTCAATAGGCCAAATAAATACAGCAACAAAAAAAATTATCATAATCAATTTACTTGAAACTATTTGAAATTGAAGAAAAAAAAATTGACGTAGTTTCTATTTGTTTTTCTTTCTTTTTTTTGAAAAAAAATTTCTTCGGGTTGAAAAAATGTACTTTTTTTATGACAAAAGTCAACAAAATTCCAACATTCAATTTGATCGTTAATCGAATGGAAACGAAAATTGTACTTATTACTATTTCAGGTACAATTTTTCAAACTAAAATTTTTTTATTTATTTGTTCAAAATTGATGAGATAGATAATCAATGTTTTCATTTTTAGTTAGTTTCAAATGAAAATTTTAAATCGATTTTTTGTTTTTGTTTTTGCTTATTTCTATATTTTCCTTTGAGAATGAGAATTTGTCAATTATTAAATGATTTGTTGATGGAACAGAAATGAAAATAAATAAAGAATTGACAAATGGAATCATCAACGAATAGATATATATGATTCATGAATAAACATTGAATTTTTCTGGAACATTTTTTCTTTTCCAAATCAACAACAACAACGATATTTTTTTGGAAAATTACAAACAAACAAACAAAAACAAACCAATGAATAATTCATATTGAATTCTACAAAATTTTTCGTTCGTTTGTTCGTTCGATCAATCAATTTCCAATTTTTATTTTCATTTTTTTTTGTTTATTGTAAAGAGGAATGAATTTAGAACCAAATACGGAAACATCACAGGTATATATCACGATCGTCACATATATATGAATGATGGTTGATGGTCTTTGTGTTTTTTTTTCAAAAACTAAAATTTTTTTTTATAACCAAGTTTTTCAATTTCTAATGAAATTGAAATGAAAAACAAACATTGGATGTAGCATTGGATGGTTGTAATCATCGAATCAACAACCGTCACCGATAATTTACTAAATCAACAACATTTAAAAGATTCAATTTGTGATTATAAACTTTTTTTTTTTTGGTCCTATGGATGTTTAAAAATAAGTCATTCACTCTGGATATTTAATATGATATGATCAACAACAACAACAACAAAACAACCGGAAAAGAAAACGATAGACAAGATGCTAATAAATTATGAATGTATTTTTACTATTTCATTAATAAAGATAAGAAAATAAATATTTTAAAGCTTCCAAATTTTTTTTCTGATTATCGATTTAAGTGTTGATGTTTATCTTATGAAATTATTATTACTATATCCAAAATCAGATGAAATTTATTTGTTTTGTTTCCATAAAAAGATTTGGTTACACATTTTTAATGATATATATCTTTCATTTCAATGTTGTCAATCATAGTCGATTTTATATGTTCATTTGTATCAATAATTATAATTTCGATAGACATTACATTGAGAAAAAAATTTTTCCAAAATATTTGGAATGTTATTTGTACTAATAATATTATCAATTTGATTCAAAATGTGAATGATGGATGAAACAAAAAACCTGAATATAAATGCCAAATGATCATACAACAACAACGAATAAAAGATATTTTCAAGATTCAAGATAAGATATTTTCTTTGGCTGTCATTAAAAAAAATAATAATTACAAGAAAAACATGTGAAAAATTTTTCTTATATAGAGAAATTGTCATTCTCTCTCTCACTCTCCATCTCTTGACATAACATTCATTATTATCATCATACTAAAACAATAACTTCTTTAACATCATTAATTGAATTGAAAAAAAAGAATAAATAATCAGATTAATTTTCAGTTTTTTTTTCGTGATCAAGCACCATTTAATCATTGATATTTGGTGGACACATTCCATAATTGACATGTTAAACAAATAGATATATATTTTTTTTGTTTCAACGAAAAACGAAAAAAAATTAACTTTCATCATCATTAAAATCAACATTGTTTCGTTTACGTAATAAATATATTGGATCAATAATTTAATGTAAAGTAAATGAAAATTCATTTCATTATTTCTATGAAATGATGGGTGGAGAAAATGGAGGCAAAAACAAAAATTGAAAAAACCATTTCATTAAATAATGTTTGATTTTCATTTTCATACGATTGACAGTAACATAACATTTTTTTTGGATCTATAATTTGATAAACATCAACAAAACAGAAGAAAAAAAATTGTTTCCAATCAAATACTTTCGATGATATATGATCGAAAGTCTATGGAAAAAAAACCTCTGGCTAAAACCATTTGATATCCACTCAATTTCTCATTCAGTCATTCATTGGATCCAGTGGTCAAGTTGTTTTTTCTATTTGAAAAAAAAGGAAGATACTTTAAACAAAAATACAAATTTACAAAATGTTGGGGTCAACGCAATGTAACGCAACAAACAAACAAACAAAAAACCGAATCGAATTATGGATGAATGAACATTTTATTATAGATAGGTAAAGTGAAGAAAAAAAAATAACAAGATGCTTCACAAGTGGTGTATATTCAGGACACATACACACATAACGAGTATAATTTTAGAAACGAATAAACAAAAAATCCAAAATGATGATGATGAAGATGATGGAAAGGTATGTGTGACCGGCGGGTATTTATTTATTTTATTTATTTCTCTGTTCACCTCTTCTCATCATTTTTTTTTTGACTGGATGGATGGATAAATATTCAACCAGATTGATGCCGGGAAAATGCGAGAGAAAGAGAGGGAGAGAGAAAGAAAAAAAACCGGATAGAATGATGATAATGATGATGATAATATTCGCACATCGATGCTTTATTCGTATACAAAACAAAATAAAAAAAAACTTTAACAATATTTATCGATTGAGAATTATTTCAGAAATCACAAGTTTATTTCGGGAAGTTTTTTTTCTGACAAGTATGATGTATAATAATATTCTTCGGGTTTTTTTTTCTTTTACAAGGATCAATATGGATCCAAAAAAAAACAAGTGAAGAAGGGAAAAGAAAGAAATGAGTGATTAATAACAACCAACAGGTTTTTCATTTAATTTTTTTCCCTTTATATTTTCATTAGAGAAAGAATGTAGACGCGCCATCACATTAGTTAATTGAATTGAATTGTGGTTTTTTTTTGTTATTGTTGTGGTGGTAATAATCGAAATTGATGATGATGATGATGAAATTATTTTTAGTTACCATCTTTTTGTGTGTGTGTGTGTTGATTATAATGTTTCTTTAATCATTTACCAATTTTCGTTAAGTTTTTTTTTCTTCTTTTAATATTAATAATATCTATGGCCATTTGATGATGATTAGATGATGTTCATGATGATGATCATCATCAATTACATGGACATGATTAAGATGAAAGAAAAAAGATTGACAGTTTGACAGTAGAAATGTTATAAAGCAAAAAAGATGAAAAATATGAAAAAAAAATTTTCGAAATGGATTTGATAATTTCATCATTATATCAGCATCATTCACTATGGTTATTGTGAATTATTTGTTTATGAAAAAAATCACACACACACAGAAAACAAAGATTTCAAATAATTTTATTGCCCTCCATTCGTTTCAACTTTGTTCCAATGTCAAATGTTTTTTTTTCTCGCTTGAATATCAATCGAATATCAATCAAGATTCTATTGAATTGAGAAAATTTTTCAGTAAAAAAAATGGATTTTTTTTGGAACAAATTTCACTTTAAAAAACTCATTGTTTTAAATATAATTTTGAAATTACATTTTTTTAAAAAAATGAAAAGGAAACAAACAAACAATCATTCATTACCATGAATGGTGTGAAAATGAATTGATTTTTTTTTTGTTTGTTTGAAAATAAAATGTTGAAAAAAAGAACATAACTTTTAACCTTGAAATTAAATCAGGAACATTTGGAATGGAATCATAAATAACAAAATAATGAAACAAAAAAAAAAGGTAATTATCATTTGCAAAAACAACAACAACAACAAAAATGTAGAAAATATACATTCCATATGGATGCATTTCATTTCATTTTATTATGAATATCATTATTGGATGAAAGAAAATAATAATAAACATTGTTTCCATTATATATCATTGTATAGGCCATTTTAGGGCCATTCTTTGAATTTTTTAGCCATCCAAAATAAAGAAAAACAAAAATTCATCACGATGATTATCGTGATTTTTGGATGATGATGATGATAATTCGGACGATCAAGAAATGAAATGTATCATTGTTGTTTGGGAAAAAAATTATGATGATACATTTTGATGAATGTTTTTTCTATGTTTGTTTTTATTTATTATTTTTCCCCTAAATATTCTATTCGTAGGATGTTTACATTTGAAAAAAAATGTCCAAAAACAACATTAAATCGAAAATGATTATCATCATCATTTATGGCTCGATGTCGTTGTTGTTGTTGATGATAATTTCGTAATAAAATTGTTAACAAACATTGAAATGATATATCATCATCAACAACATGATGAATTCATCCGCAAAATCTTTCATCATATTTTCTTTTTCTTTTTCTTTTTTATATAGAAATTTTCAGCATCTAGAAATGGTAAAATAAACAACAAATTTGGATCTTTCGTTTTTCTTCTTCTTCTTTTCATTGTCAACACCGTAATTGCATAATCATCATCATCGTGGCATTCATTCGAGCAAAAATTATTCAGATCAAAAAAAATTTTTTTTCCAAAAAAAAAAGAGTAAGAAAATTATCATCTGAACCGGAATGAATCGTGAATAAAGACATGAATATTTCCAAACAATGAAACAAAGAATTTGACAAAAGCAAAAAAACAAAAACAAAACAACATCCATTGAACTCTTATTGAATTCTTATTGATGATGGGAATAAATTTTTTTTTTGTTGAAATTTAAATTTAGAAACAAAAAAAAAAATTAAGTGAAATGAGTCAAATGAATCGTGAAGTATGATAATGTTTGCAAGCCATGTTTGAATGTTGTTGCTTTTTTTTCTTCTTCTTCTTCATTAATTCACTTTTCTATTCTTTCAATTTTTTAAAAGCTATTTTAAGAACATTCAATCAAAGTAAGTAGCAAAACAAAAACAAAAACCTAATTTTTCATCCATTTGGTCCCCATATTCAAATCAATTTTAGTGAATATAAACGGGGGAAGCAACTTAATTCAATTATTTTGTTCACTAAAATTGATTCTTTTCACTGTATTTTTTTTCTATATTTTGGAACATATATGTTTTTGGATCCAAATAAAACTCTTTATTTGGTATTTTGTAAATTGCACATTTTTTTCGTTTGGTTCCCTATAGATTTAAATAGAGTTAATTTTTATTGAAAATGACATTTATTAAGTAGGTGGTCAGAATTTAACTATCTAGCTTTTCAATGTTTTTTTTCCATATGGAGGTGTATGATTAGTGTACGTTTACACAATGATACAATGTCCACATACACATCATCATCTGATGATCTGATGAATGATGCATAGAAATGTTTCCAAATCCACAATAATAAAACCAAAAAATAAAAATATTCAATCAATCTAATTGCAAATATACAATTATTATGTAATAAGTCCAGTATAATAAACAACCGAACAAAGATGGTGGTACCCAGATCATCATCATCATCATATGATATTTGAAATTGAAAAACATAATAATGTGGGCGTATCGAGTCATGGAAAAAAAGTCATAAATTTTTTTTTTCAATTTTCTTTATCTTGCTGAACAAAAAAAAAACAGTTACAATGTTATCATATCATATTGTAAGAGGGAAAAAAAATTTGACTTTGTTTGTTTGTTGATCATTGTAATTGATGATGAATTTTTGTTTCATCTGATTCAATTTTCAAATATTTATCTATTTCACTGATAATAAGTAATGATTTGGAATGAAATTTTGTAAATTTTGTTTTTGTAGTCGGAAATCATCCCCCCCAAAACAACAACGACAACAACAACAACAAATAAAAACTACAAATAAATTTTTTCGCAATGGCTGTTAGGCCAATATTTCTCTGTTTGACTTTACTGATAAAAATCTATAAATTAATATTTACAAATGTTTTTTCTTCTTCTTTTGGACTAAGGGGGATAATAAATTGAAAAGGTAATGAAAGCAACAACAACAAAAATCGAATAAACAAACAAACAAACAAACAGTTTTTTTTGGATAGTACAGGAATGAACAAACAAACAACAGCAGACAAGAATGAAATGCAAACAAAATGTAAAATGAATAAATGAATAACACATGTGATGATTCTTATAAATCATCAATGAAAATCAATAAATGAATGAAAAAAAGTCAACGGGGTGAATTCTTTTTCTATCATTCAATGTTGAAAGAATTTTTTTTTTCTTCTTCTTCTTTTTTCTATCATTCAATTCTCAAATAATAATGATAATAGATTTTTTCTACTATTTTTTTTCCAAATATTTGGAAAATTTGAATCGATAATTTGTTGTTATCGTTAATGTTGTTGTTGTTGTTGTTATTATTATTGTTATTTGTAATAAAATGAAATTGTGTTCATTTACGTTTAGCAACAACAAACATCGACAACAACAATAATAATAATAAAAAGAGAGAATAATGTTCACCATTTCACCATCTTTCTTTCAGGTTTAAATACACACACACACATAGAGATAACAAACAAAAAACAGTTCGATTTATTGATGTAATTTCAATGTAAATAATAATAAATAAAATTCATTAGAATTAATTTTTACTAGGTATTTTTCTTCAGTTGTTGTTATGGTTATTTTTGTTGTTGTTGTTTGTTTGTTTGTTATAATATGACGAATATATAAATATAATGATGTCATCATCATTATCATATATGATTATTATGATGATGATGATAATAATAAAAATGGATTAGAAACTAAATTTAGCAACGGAAGTTTACATTATAATATTAAAAAAATTATTATCTGTAAATTTAATTAACCACATAGAGTGAATGAGTTTGTGAATAAAAGCTAGGAGATGAACAGGAGATAAATTAATCGAGTTGAATTTTTTTTTTTGTTTTTTTTTGGCAATTCAGAATACATCCCAAAAAAAGAAACAACATCAACCTATGTTTAGGTCAATTTCATTTGAATTGCTTTTTTTTCATCTTTCATTTTTATGGATCTGGTTTTTCTTTTTTTGGCAAGTTAAAACCGATAGTAGTAGAATTAGAAAATTAGAAAAATGACTGGAATGTGTTGTTTTGATTTTGTTTTTTGGTTTATAAATAATTAATAATATTTACCGGATGTTTTTTCCATTTTAAATAAACGTTGTAATGCCATACGAGGTGTTACATGTTGTTGNTGAAATATTGCATTTGAAATATTTCATTCACATTGCTGCTAGTGTGAAACCCCTATAAATAAAATTCATTAGAATTAATTTTTACTAGGTATTTCTTCAGTTGTTGTTATGGTTATTTTCTTTTTTTTTGTTGTTGTTTGTTTGTTTGTTATAATATGACGAATATAATGATGTCATCATCATTATCATATATGATTATTATTATGATGATGATAATAATAAAAAAAATGGATTAGAAACTAAATTTAGGAACGGAAGTTTACATTATAATATTAAATAAAATTATTATCTGTAAATTTAATTAACCACACATAGAGTGAGTTAGTGAATAAATAAGATAAAAGGAGATGAACAGGAGATAAATTAATCGAGTTGAATTTGCTTGTTTTTTTTCTGGGCAATTCAGAATACATCCCCAAAGAAACAACCTATGTTTAGGTCAATTTCATTTGAATTGCTTTTTTTGTTTCATCTTTCATTTTTATGGATCTGGTTTTTCTTTCTTTCTTTTGCCAGTAAAAACCGATAGTAGTAGGATTTGAAAATTAGAAAAATGAATGGAATGTGTTGTTTTGATTTTGGTTTATAAATAATTAATAATATTTACCGGATGTTTTTTCCATTTTAAATAAACGTTGTAATGCCATACGAGGTGTTACATGTTGTTGATCATCATGTTGTGAATGTGATGATGATGATGATGATAATGTTGTTGTTGTTGTTGTTGTTTGGGGTGTCGGTGAATTTGGTGATGGTGATGATGATGTTGAAAATGTTGCCAGATGTTCAACATGATAAGTTGGTACTTGATTTGGTGAAAAACGATCCATTTTTTTTCTTCAAAACAATTCCAAACTTGATTGAATAAAGTAATTTGGTTTTTCTTGCGTAGATTTTTTTGAAATTGAAAAAATATTTAAAACTTTTCAAGTGTTTGTTTCATTTACGATGTTTAAAATCAATCAATCGATCGATTGAATTATCGATTAATTTGAACCGATAAAATGAGGGAATTGTTAACACACACACACAAACATAAATAATTAATTGATAATCATCTTCAATGTTTGATTGTTTCAAGGAACCAAAAAAACGAAACAACAAAAAACTCAAGATGATAACCAATCAATTTTACAAGGTTTTTTGGTTGCTCTTGATCCACACCAAAACAAGTGAAAAAAAATTGATGTACTTTATGACATTTTTTTTAGGGAAAAAAGAACGAATAACGATTTTTAAATTTTTGGATAAATTCAATTAATAATTTAGAAATCCAAACAATATCTAATCAATAATTGATCATCATTTGCAAATACATTGCACACACACACAAACATCAATAATTACCGGTCAAAAATCAACAGGTGATTATTATCATTATCAATGAAAAAAAAAATTTACTTTAAAATATCAAAATCACTAGAGAGATTATATTATAATCCAAGATTACTTCAACAGACAAACAAAAATCACACACATATAAAAAAAAACTATTGAAATCGTGGTCGTCGTCATCATCATCAACATCAGTGGTTTTTTTTTATATAACAAACATTTAGAATCAACCTGACACCATTCATAATCATCAACAACAACAACAACATAGGTAAAAGATAGAGAAAAATTTGACCACTACTACATACTACTAAATCCACGAATATTATAATGATGATAAAATAATGGATCAAACAACGACAACAACAACAACCACCATCATTCATTCATTCATACATTCAGTTGAATTCAGTTGAATTTGGATTTTTTTTTCAATGAATGGCTGCTGGCTGTAAAACTTTTTTTTTTTTGTAAAAATTTCAACGAAATAGTCTTCTTCGTCGTCATCAAAATGGCCGATGATAATATTTTTTTCAAGAGAAGGAAAAAAAATGAGAAACAAGATTTTTCAGAAAAATATTTTTGTTGTTGTTGTTGTTGCACCTGTTGTTGTTGATAGTTGATGAACAGGTTCCTTTTTTTCGAAATATTTGATCATTATGGTAGTGGTTGTTGTTGATCGTAATTATCAACTACCACTGCCAATGATAATGATGATTTTGGACAGGTAAATTTTTTTAATGTTTTGAAAAATGTTTTGAAAAGAGAAAAATTTCATTAAAGAAAATGAACTGAATTTATTTGTAGTGGTGGTGGTTGTTGTTGTAAGTTGTCAAAAAAATATTTGAACAGAAATATTTGTTGTTGTTGTTGTTGTTTTACTTATTTGAATGAAAATCTAATTTACGATTTGATGAAAGAGAGAGAGAGAGAGAAAAAGAAATGAAAACCGGAACTACAATGAAGAAATTTGTCAAATTTTTTTCCTTCACAAAACAAAAATCTTTTCAAAAAAAATTTCAGGAAAGAAAGTTAAAAAAATCAACCGAGATAAAGTTTCCGTGTAATCGAATAGATACAAAGTAGAAAGATTCATATTCAAAGATAACGTTATCGAGGAGATAAAGTTATCATTTTATCCGAATTTTTTTTTTAAATACTTCATTGAAATATAATCTTTGATACATCATTTTATTGAACCATAATAATAGATAATGGAATACAGGAAAAAAAACTATATCATCATCATCATCATCATTATGATTGTTAATGAATTGAAATTTGATAACCATAACAAACCATTTCAAACATGTTACAAAACAATATTACAATGTTTCTATTATTGGTATCGAATGGGGATGTGCAAGCTATAATTAGCAATTAGGACAATGAAAGAAACCCTTAACCACAAATGATAAATAATTAATCCTTGACATAAACACTGGAAATGAAAGAGAAAGAGAAAGAGAGACATAGACAATGTATTAAATGTAGTAATTTTTTGCTGGATATTAAAAAAAACTTGCAATTAATTATTATTATATAGGTAAATGAATGAATGAATAAAAGGTCAACAGAAAAAAAAAATGTTAATTCTCATGAGATAATCATAATGATGATGATATAGAAATTATTATTATTATTATATAATAGAGTCGTTCATAAAAATGACGGCAACAATAATAATAATAATCATCATCATTATTATTATTGATAATGATTATGATCAAGTATCATCATCATCATCATCAATGATGACATTCATAATATATTGAAAAATATTTGCTTTATTTGTTCTCGTTATCCAAATATTTTTTAAAAATTTCAAAATGGATTCGCTTTCTTGTCTGCCTGTTTGTTTGTTTGCTTGATGAAAGAAATTTTCATATGGAAATTAGGATTTGTTTTTTGTTATTGTTGAAAATAATCGCATCTTTTTCTTCTTTATTTTTGTTGAAAAAAAATCAAAATTCAGAAAATAAAATCCAACAACAACAACAACGGTAAATTATTCATTTTATTCTATCTGTTTTTTTGTTGTTTTGTTCCAAATGGAACCCGAATAATAATAAAAAATATTCAAATTTGATTGAGGAATGAATATATTTTTTTTCTGTTTCTTGAATAACAAAAAAAAAAATGATGTGAATTTGATGATGACAAACAAATGAAACAATAAATATCATTTATTTATTTTATTCTCATGGTTCATTGATCCAGATCTTTCTTATCGTTATTGTTTGACTTTTCGTTAGCATAAATCACAAACAATTTTTAAATTGAATATTTTTGAATAGCTTTTCATTCGTTGATTGAAAATGATTCAAATTCCATTGACAATAAAGAAATATCTTCTCATATCTGATATATTGTTTTTTTTTCTCTGATTGAACTTTAAAAATTTCAATGATGAAAAGATATCGAGAAAGATTTTATCATTAGATTTTGATAATTGAATTAAAAAGGTCTTTACGAACGAAAATGAAAATGAAAATGAAAATTCAAAATGTCATGGTGTTTATGAATAACGTTTGGATCACGTGAGAATTATGATGACAGCTGAATTAAAAAAAAGAAAATTATTCTAAATTCTTTAATTGACAAACATCAACAAGTTGTTTATTTTGAATTTTATGACGATGAATCGTATACGATCGATTACAAAATGGATCAGAAATCCAAAGCTAATAATTATGTTGGGCGAAAAAAATTCCGGTAAAATATGGATTGATTTTTTTTGATAAAAATGATTATCGGCTAAATTATTTAGATTTGAAAAAATCTAAAAATAGAAATTTAGTAGTTTTTTCTCTTGATTGGATTTGATTTTTTTTTCTTTTTTTTCTGTCTGTTTGTTTGATTTAAATGTCATCGATTGAAGTTGGAATAAAAATGAATCAATCAATACGACAATTGTCGTCGGCAAAAACGAATGAAGAAAAAAAAGTTAAAACTGCTATATTAATGTTGAATATGGGTGGACCGAAAACAATAGCCGATGTTGAACCATTTTTACGTGAATTATTTCTCGATAATGATATAATCAAATTACCATTACAAAAGTAATTAAATAATGATTACTAAATTAATGATTGTTTTGAGTTTAATTATTATTATCATTTTTTATATCAGATGGCTTGGACCATTCATAGCTAAACGTCGTACTGCAAAAGTGGCAAAAAAATATTCCGAAATTGGTGGTGGTTCACCATTACATGAATGGACTAATCGACAAGGATCATTATTAATCGAACGATTAAATCAAATTCGACCGAATAATGGACCATATAAATATTATATTGGTTTTCGTTATACACCACCAACATTATCGGAAGCATTCAAACAAATTGAATGGTAAGAATTTATTCTTCTAATTCTATTCTTTATAGTAATTTTTTTTCTCAAACATAAATGTCAACATACTAATAGTGATAAACCTGAACGTGTTATTGCATTTTCACAATATGCACAATATTGTTGTAATACAACCGGTAGTAGTGTGAATCAGATTGCAAAATATTTTCAACAACAACAGCAACAAAAATTATCATTTCATCTTAGTTTTATTGATCGTTGGCCAATAAATTCCGGATTAATCAATTCATTTACTGAACTTATTAATAATGAACTTAAACAATTTCCGGTCAATTCATCTAATGAAATTATATTATTATTTACAGCACATTCATTACCATTGAATGTAAGTTTTACATACAAACACACATACATACAAAAATCAATGAAACAGAAAAATTTCGATATTGACCAGAAAACAAAAAACCAAACAAAGCAACGAAAAGAAAAGAAAAGAAATAGTAAATTCTTCCCACTATATTATAGTGTAATTCCTAATAGATTTTATTCAATGTTCAATTACATTTATTTAATATATAAATGTAATTTTCATATATATTTTTTTTTGTCGGAAACATTACATTGTCGTTTCTTTTCACTTTTTTTTTGTCTGTGTGTATGTGTTCCTCACTATTTGGGAAAAGCATATTCTTTTCAATTACACATTTATATAGAGAAAAGAATAAGCATTAAGCTTACATCATCAGAATCCGAATATTTCATTAGAATTTCTTTTTATTAATGAAAAAAAAAGAAAAAGAGAGAGAGAGAGAAGGGAGTTTTCAATATTCTCGATTCTTTTTTATTCAATTCATATCAGTGTATATAGTTTCTTCTAAATGATATTATTACTAATATTTTACATGACATTTCTATCTTGCTTGATTAGATAAGATTTGATTATATTACATTCTTAAAATTATATTATATTTTAGTTGTATTTTTTTTTTATTATCCATCTTTTTTTTCTAGCTATCATCATTATAATTTTCTTTTTCTTTTTTTATTCTGGCCATAGAATTTGATGATTTGTAGTATGATGATGTTAAGACATAAGACAAAAGGTTTTTTTGAGTGTGTGTGTGCGTGTATATGAATGTTTCCGATTGGTTATTACATTTAATTATCATTTTGGAAAATGAAATCTATAATGATGATGGTGATGATGATTAGATTTTTTGTTTTGGATTTGTGTTTAGTTGAAAGATAATGGATGAAAAATGCAGAATTTTATGCCCAAATCATCCCTATTTGTTAAAATCAATTTTAAAATGTTGTTTTTTTTTCAAAATTAAAAACATTTCAAGTCAGTAAATGTAGGCGATACATATACAATGGAAGTTAGTTCGACTGTAATGGAAGTAATGAAACAGCTAAAATTTCGTCATCCATTTCGTTTGGTTTGGCAATCAAAAGTAGGACCAGTACCATGGCAAGCACCTGCAACTGATGATGTTATAAAAGGTAAATCATTTTCATTATAATAATTATTATGTAAGGATTATCATAATTTAAAAAAATCATTATTATTATTGTATTTTGAAGGATTTATTGAAAAAGGTTATCGAAATATACTACTCATACCAATATCATTCGTAAATGAACATATTGAAACATTACATGAATTAGATATTGAATATTGTAAGGAATTAGTGGAAAATTTACCAATCAAAATGATACGTCGTTGTCCAGCACCAAATGATCATCCATTATTCATCGATGGTATTGTTCAATTAATCGATGAACATTTAGAATCCGGTGTTGATGTTTCACCACAATTATTACTACAATGTCCATTATGTGTTAAAAAAGTTTGTAAAGATACACGCCTTTGGCTAAAAGAATTACAAAACCAACAACAACAGCAATAACAATATCGTTAGTCAACATTTCTATTCATGAACTTTCTTTACACATTAGAATTCATTATGTCATTGCACACCTAATGTTTTCTCAATGGGGAAAAAAAGGTAATTATTCAAATGTTAGGAATATTTTTGTTGTTGTTGTTGAAATATTTTATCTATTTTTTTTTTTTTTTTTTTTGCATTCAATTTCAACCAAACAAAAAAATGTCAATGAAACATTGATGTTTGCCATTTCATCATCAACCGAAAACAAAGC